TTGTAAAGTAAGAAATGACTAAGGGGGTGGAAAGTGAGTGAGAGGAAAATCAGACAGGAAGGAAAAGAAACATGAAAGAAAGATTTCAGTGAAACTCTGGTAGCTGATAAACAGACTTTAACAAGCAGAAGTACCTGTTTTTTGTAGAAAAGCAAGTGCCGCTGCTTGTTAAAGTACTAAAGCAAAGAAAGTACAGACTGTATATTTCAGTGTGGTTTGTGTATGTGTCCTATAAACCAACACATCTGGACCTGTTCGTCACTTCATGAAAACAACAGAAAGCGTGGCAAGGCCCGCACACAGTCATTAGAGCTGAAGAGTGAGGCTCCGTGCTGATAGTCGTAATAATATATTTCCTGTGTAACAACGCCTGTGTAATGACAGACGGTGATTAGATCATCTGGCTCTCGCTGCAACAGCCTGGAGCAACGTTGATGTGTCTATTAGGTGCAACAAAAACTCCTCAGGTTTCAGCTACGGGAGCGAGACCAATGCCATTTCTGAGTGAAAAAATGATTACATGCGCTCTTTAATAGAAGCATGTTTTTGTAGTATCGTGTCTGCTCATGAGCAACGGTTTGGGGTCAGAGCTTCTTCTATAATATGTGAATATTAAATCCTGTATTTATATATATACACACCAATCTACAAAATAACTGGTTACCATGAGTGGTTGTTGAGCAGTAACTAAACTTAGAATAATGTTTAGTTTCCTTGATAGAGACCTTATGACAGATAGTGTCATATTTGCATCTTTTCTACAAGGGTTGAGAAAGTACTTCTTTCTGCCCTAAGTAGTGCCTGCAGAAACCTCCACCAATATATAGGGTGGACTGTATTAACATTAAAACGATTAACCAATTACTCGATTAACAGAAAAATATCTGTAACTGTTTTTATAGTCAATTAATCGTTGCAGTCATTTTTCAGGGAAAAATAGTGAAAACATTGGTTTGGGTCATTCTCTGGTTGCAGCTTGTCACTCATATGTTAATGTAAAATGAATATTTGGGGTTTTTGGACTGTTGGTCAGAAAAACAAGACATTCATCTTGGGCTGTTTTTTCCGTATTTTTTGACATTTCATAGATTCGCTGAAACAATGTCGTAACATTATCAACATCATTAGTTGCTGCCCTGGACGATGTGTAGCCTTTGAGGCGAAGCCCAGGGCAAAAAGTCTGAAAATACCCTATATATAAAGGCGACTCAGATGAATTTATCGACATTTCTACCAGCTTACTAACGTTAGTATTTTGGCAGCTGGACAGTAAAGGTGCTTTCAAACAGTCACTTCCATTGTTTTCAATGCAAACATGGCGGCAGCAGCAGTAGCAAGGAGATGGAGGGTAGCTGCAGCTCTCGTGAACGCACACAGCTCTTTGCATTCAGAATTTATGACGGTTCAACTTTTACAACTGGCCGCCGCCAACCATGACAACAAAAGACACTACAGCTCGGGAAACTACATGAGCTGATTTTACTGGTACCCGAGTTCCCTGAGTTAACCTATACACCTCCTCACCAGCAGAGACCAGAAGACAGATCAATGAAGAGAGACAATCTGTGCAACATGAACTTCAAAGTATGGTCCGGGACAAAAAACATTGATGATAGCAGCTGGCAAAACATGCCATATTGCTAACCATTTCCCTTTATTTTAAGCTACAACTCTAATTAGCTGAGGGGTGAGGTCATACTAGCTTGCAGCAGCAGCTAGTGGTGTACAGGCTGGTAGGGTCACCTAACGAGGACAACATTCAGAGACATTTTATTGATTACAAATTTAAGATTTAAAAAAGTTACAGGGACATGCCCCACGTCTCCATTGGAAATGATGCCCTTGTGTTTGCTGGTATCAATCTTATAAGCCGTGTGGTGAACTGCTACCTACATGCATCTTTAATCCACATATGCTGTTGCAGAGGCATGAGCAGTTGGTGATTCTTGTTAAGTATTTACTCTGAAGAGGAGGACATAAAGCAGCTAAGGCGAGAGGGAATGTTTAGAGAATCGTTGAAATATGGGGGGAAAGGCTTGAGACAGGAATTAAAAGTCTGCTTCAAGCTGGTGTGTCTCGTCGTTTTTTTTCCAGGCAGCTTCTTCTCAAATTCCACCCTTTCCTCCCTTCTCCTCTGACAGAATAACCTCTCCTCTTGTTAAACTCTGCTCTCGCTCACATGCACATATACAACATATCTCTCTCACTCTCTCACACAAACACACACACACAAGCTTTTCCATCAATCCCTCTCTTCCCCTAAACACAAACTTCCTCTTTTATTTCTGCAGTCTTATTCTCTCCATCTCACTCTATCTGTTGCTGACCCTCCCTCTCTTTACTCCTCAGTCTCCTCCACTAACAGGACTCTATGCGTCCATCCACACACACCTAAACACTCATTCTCACCAGCCTTCATCTCCATTTCTTCTTTGCCTCCCCACCTTTTCCCTCCCCTTGCCCTTTAGCTCACCCTCCCACTACTGTGTGCAGATTTTCTAAAAACAGTACTCTCTTTCACTGCTGCTTAACTGCGTCACCACCTTTACCACCCTCCCCTCATACCCTCACTCAAACATTTACACACATATACTCTTCCCATTTTGCCCTCTCTCATTTCCTCTGTCCCTCTCTTGGTCAACCAATTGCTTCTACGCAACAGTACAAACACACATATACATACACAGCAAATCACACTTGTGATGGCCCTCAGGCGCAGTGTGTTATGACAAACACACCTAATAGATAATAGGATGTGTCACACTCGGTCTGGCTCACTCCCTCAATTACACACGCAAACATACACACACACACACACACACACACACACACACACACACACACACACACACACAGACACACACTTACAGTACATACAAGCCTGGGCAAAGTCCTGCATTCATCAACGCTTAAGCCTATTTTTAAGCAATTGTAAGACGTATAAAAATGTGGACCAACAATTTACTGCAGGAGCAAACAAGGCTGAAACAGAGGCTAATGTTGGGTAAATATGTAACCCAATGAGTCAGGCTCAGCCATCACAGGACTGCTATTAATGCTGCTGGCACACACAGGGCAAGAATTCTGTGAGCTACTAAATCTGTTTTAACATAGGGACTATCACATGCAGCGGGACAGAAAGACAGAAAGAAAGATATAAATAAAAAAGACAGAAAGAAGGACAGGAAGACTGACAGACAGAAAGGGGGATGAGGACAGGTGAGGCGGCCAAATGATCTAAAGAGAAAAAAGTCAGGGGCAGTAGAGTGCAAACCGCAGTGGTTCAAGTGTCTACTTCCACTCTAGAGCCAGTTGTGGAAATAACGCGTAAGAGTGAAAATGTGTGTAGATGTCTGTCTGTGTGTGATTTGTTAACTTTAACCTTATCACTTCCTCCAAAGCCCTCTCTTAAAACAGACCTGCTACAAGTGGTATGCTGGAATAAATAACCCGGTCACATGTCACTCTGGGTATTTTCGTCCCTGTGATCAAATCTTAAAATGGGACTACGGATCAGTTTCCTTCTGTTTATTTAATCCGTCTGTCCCCCCATCCACCGTGTGCCATATTTCACACAGTTGATCGATTTTCATGAAACTCGAGCAGCAATGATACCTTCTGCATTTTGGCTTGAATAAAGCCAAGAGAGTCGTTAGTTTTTTAGTTTGTTTCCCATTTAGCTAGGTCTTGGTATGGTTTAAAATTTAGTCCTGATACCAAAACCTTTTTTCAAAATCTTAAGTTTGTTAATGTCACAATGTTAAATGTGTTAAATACAGCTGTACGACTAGATAAAATACAGTGAATCATTTGCAAAGTTGTGAATTAAATGCAATTGACAATAGCTAACTGGCACATTTACATGAATATTGATTAATGTATGTTGCCTTCATAAATAAAGAAATTAAAAGAAAGTGAAATCAAAGAATAAATGAATGAGACAACAAATCCAGTGCCAACCTTCTGCACAGGACGGCTTTGATATGTGGAAAATGAAAATATATTTAAGCTGAAATCTGTGACCTTCCACATGTTGTCGCTCTATCCTAGGACAAAAAAAATTGATGCAAAGATGGTGGAAGTTTGTGTGACAACCTGTTGTTGATTTGCAGGAGCCATCGCAAGCTAGCCAAGTGTGATACTGCTGAGCTGATGCAGCTGACCTTGATTAACCTATGTAGAATGTGTCACACGTTTTGCCCGGACATGTGCATCCTAAAGAGTGCTAATGTCCCGGTTTTTTATGCTTTAAATACTCCACAAATGGAGCACTCTCAATCTCACATTTAATTGAGTGAAATCAAGCATGGCATTCCTGTCTCAGTGAAACCTGAGTTACTGCGAGTTCGACCCAGGTTTCTCACCTGTGTCTCAAACGTAAGCTGGCCCATCTGACACAACCGGCCTGTCTGTGTCTCTGGCTGCTCCTTTTGGCAGCAGGTATGGACACTTTGCTACTGATAATGCTGGAGCTGAGCTGCACTGAGAGGTATGAAGCAGGTTGCAACCCCAATCATCACTGTACGCCCCGAGCCGGACAGGACATTATATCAATTACACGCTGTGCTACTGACACACACAAACACCCAGGTTTTGGCACATATTCATACTCACACATATGTACAATCAGTCACAAAGATAATGAACGCAGAAGCATAAATACAGGCACTTGTGTGGCTTTACAATGGAGGTGTGTATTCTGGTTGTCACACATGCCTTGGAGTAGCGGTACTGGTAGCACTAGCGGTAAGTTTCCATCTGAGTGCTCACAGACAACCAGCCAGTGTTGGAGCTGGGGAAAGATCTACCTATCAAATACACTCTGCTGACCTTCAACTCCTCCGTTTATGGCCCCTAAATGCTCCCTTCAACACACGGCATACATATAAATCAGGCATGACAGGCTGAATAAATCAAAGGTGAGCAAGATGTGCAATTAAGTGGAATAAATTAAGTGGAATATTTTTGTTCTTTCTGGGGTTTATGGGTGAAGATCTTACCTGCCAGAAGCACCTGCGGTACTCTTTCTCCGGCCCAGAGCATCTGTAGACCTGAGGAGCTCCCCTCCCTACATCCCTGCCTGATTCCACCCCCACATGTGGGATGTTGGGGTGCTGTAGTGGGTAGATGTTGCCGGCAGGTGGGACCTGTGGGCTGAAACCTGGGTGGGGCTCCCTGTCTATGCGCACAGGACTGGGGCGGTGGAGAGAAGTGGAAAAATGTGAAGCGGCAGCAGGGGAGTTGGGGCGTGCAAGAGGAGAGACGGGAGGAGGCGGTGCCGTGACTGAGTGCCAGTCAAACCGGTGGCGGTTGGACTGGAGAAATGGCGATGAGGAGCGTGAGAAGTGAGAGTGATGAGTGGATGGGACTCGCACTCTTGCCCTCCCATGCTCTGTACTGGCGTGTGAGGGTCGGTCAACATTGTGGTGCGGGCTGCCAGTTGTGGTGGAGGTCGTTGTGGGAAACTCCTCAGCAGCAAGTGCTACAGTGCTCTCCTCCTCTTTCTCACTCCTCCCTGCCTCCCTGTCTTCTCCATCACCCCCTGCCTCATCTTCCACTCTCCTGTTCTCTGACTCTGCGTCGTCTCCATTCACGGCTAGCCCAGGTGCTAGTGTTGCAGTACCGTTAACAGTGTGTCGAGCCTGCCGGTTGGGACGATGCAGAGGCAGAGAGAACGGGACCCTGCCATACCCGAACTGCCCTGGACGGATGCTGGAAGGCCTGCAAGTCGAAGAGGAGGAGACCAAAAAAAGGAAGAGGAAATGGAGTATAAAGAGAGAAAGATTTACAGATGGACAGAAGGAGCCAGAGGCAGTGACAGAGAAAGAAAACAGAATACATTTCAAATACAGACATGCCCAACAAAATTATAACTGACACAGAGCCAGAACGCTTAGTTGTGTTTGCACGACAAAAACCAGAAGTAATGATGTAATAACATAGCAAATACCATAGGCACAGATGGGCATGACTCCAACTCCCAATACTCACAACATCATAACAAACCCTCTCTAATGCCTAAATAATGTCAGCACTTTAACTAATGGCACCTGAATGAATCCTAAGCGAATGGTCACATCATCCAATCAGCATTTTCTTTTGTTTTGGCGACGCCAAGTCATTGCTGTTTCTGTGTTCCAGCTCCCAGAGATCCCAGCGGTTTCAAGCTGTGTCACTGGTACTTTTTTTACCTTGTATTTTCTTTTATTTATTCTAAACAAACCACTGTTGCTACTGTCATTGAAGCAAAACTCACTTCCTGTTTCCTGGAAACCCTGTGTGCTCAGCAAAGCTCACGCAAAAGCTTCTAACTGGAAACTGGATTGAACCAGTGTTTCTGTATTCTCCACTGAAAAAACACTTTCCTCTACAAGGAAATGTTGACGATTATTGTTTTTAGAGTCCAGCTGGTAGGGGATATTACACCAACAATGATTCAATTTAACAATCAATATTTTCAGTTAAAAACATCACATAATGATATATTGGCCAATAAGGATCCCGTAAATTTAAGGCATTCTTCAAGGACTTAATTAAGTTAATTCTGAACACAGCCACATCCCCACTTATAAGAGGGTGTGCACACTTATGCAACCAGGATATTGTAAGGTTTTTATTTTTCATTTTTCCCCCTCAAAAATTTCAGTTTGCTTTTCAATTGAACTGTTCACATTATAGGTCACATTAAAGGTGGAAAAAGTTCTGACATGATTTATCTTTGTCTCATTATTTTACATCATAAGAACCTGGCATTTTAACAGGGGTGTGTAGACTTTTTCTATCCACTGTATTCAGTGACAACTGAACAAACTCCCTCTACTTAGAAAGATGGTGTGATTTGATTGAAAGCTCCAGCTACTTTCCACATAACCTCAAACATATCTTTGGCATTTCTGTACTGAAGTTTCTTCTTATTTATCGGCATATATGCAGACACTGAAATCTTTGATGAGCTATTGCGCTAACTGATTAGTTTACTTTCTAGGTGTCCATTCTGACTCACCTCTTCACAGGCAAACCCTCCCGATTTGGGGTGACCGACCTTCTGCTCCCGCCTCCTCCAGCCCTTACTGCTCCTGGATTGGTCGGCCTCCTTATGATCCGTGCTGGTTGGTTGTAGCCGTGTGAAGGAGCGTGGTAGGGCGATCGGTAAACAGATACATGGTCTTGATTGGTTGGGGAGAATTCTGGCTGGTAAAAGGGAGGGGATGGATTGACCTGTCCCGGTGCAGGAGCTTCTCCTTCCCCGACGTTGGTGTTCCGGTAAAGTGACAGTCCTGGGTTGTGATTGATGGGGATCAAAGGGGAGCGATAAGGGGGGTGCTGCCCGGGGTAACTAGGAGGGTAGTAGGGGTGCCCAGGTGAGATGACAGGACCACCGATGCCCCCGGGCAAATAACCTGCCCAGTTAGGTGGAGAGTGGGAGAGGGGAGGCGTCTGGGGGGGTGGAGGAGGTAAACACTTCCTGCTCCTCTGTGAGACGCCCACACCGCAGGCCTGAGAGCATTCGGACCACTCCCCCCAGACAGACCACACCCCCTCTACGGGCTCCGCCTCAAACACCTGTCTGGACCGCCGGCCTGACACCTGGCGTGCACACACACACACACACTTTGTTAAACCAAAAGTCCAAAACCCAAATATATTAGGTTTACAATGATCTCTTATTTGAGAAGCTGTAATAAGACAATGTCTGGCTTTTTTTTTTTTTACTATTTTTGCTTGAAAAATGAAAGATTACCAAAATAGGTGCTGCTACACTGACTAATAATTTCAGCTGTGGTGGTGGTGTGGTTTGTTCTCATTTCATAATTGATTAATCATTGGCCTATAGATAGAAAGCTTAGACCACAAAAAAAGCTCATCACAAGTTCCCAGAAACAATTATGACGTCTTAAAATTTCTTGTTTTGTCCAACCAACACTCCAAAACCCAAAGACCCCTGGTTACTAAGAAAACCAAACAATATTAACATTTGAGAAACTGGAACCTGTGAATTTGTGCCATTTTTGCTTAAGAATGCTATCAATCGACTAATCAAATATACAACTAATCATTTAAGCTCTAATAATCTCATAACCTATTATAGTCTATTTTTGTGGTAATTACATTGAATCTGTCTGTGCTACATTTTTATCACTGCCTGTCACGTCTCCCAACAAAAATAATACTGTTTTTTAAGAAAAGGTCATCTGTTCATGTGGTAACCGGTCCATCATCACCACCTTTCAGCGTTCAACAATACAAGAATCCGTATGAGGCTACTACCTGTACCTCTGTACCATTGTCTAATTTATTTTATCTACCACAATAAAATACTGATCAAATAAAATAATGTTTCTGTTTTGAAGCTTAAAAAAATGGTCTGCTGTACTAAAAAAGTTGTTTTAATCCAGTAGATTCAGTATATCTTATTTCACTCCACTTATAAGAGAAAAAGTTTTGTGAAAATTTTAATCAAAAGTAAATTCTCAGTATGTTTTGGACAATTTTCAAGTGACGGGGCTGAATGAAACAGCATGGCAATTATTAACTCAGGTTAAAAAGGTTCGGCTGGTTAAAAAAGTACTTAAATGTTCAAGTGCACTACAACAGACTGTGAACCTAAAGAGGGTAAAAACTGCAAGCCCTGGCAATATTTTAAAGAAGTACTTAACTTAGCAAAAAACGCCATTGCAAAATCTAAATTCTCTGGAAGGACTTATTTCTTCACAGTAACTGAGTTCACTGATGAGCTGCAGTCTCGTGAGTTTCCTTCTTCTGAGGCCAAAATATAAATCCTGAACTTCTCATGGTTCGCTCAGGCTTAGAAGAGACTAGGTCACCTGCCAGCAGCTTATGAGCAGATGCATAACAAAACTGGAGTTGGTGTCATATGAATGCGCTGCAGAAATGACAAGATTAGGGAAAATCTGGCTGTGCATGTGTGTTTGTATATATACATGTGTGAGTGAGTGTATGTGGGTGCCAGGTCAGGCTTTCTGTGGCTGTAGATAAATGTTTCTCCTCTCATTTCATAACTGAAGCATCGGCCTGGTTGGCAGAGCAGCAAACACGAGAGCTGAACAAAAGTTTCCATTCAGAAAGGACCAAAAACTAAATCTGCGCTCCACTTCTCTCCTCTTTCTCTTAGAGTGTGTAAATGTGGGTGTGCACGAGCAGAAATATGCAAGCAAACATACTGTACAAACTGTTTGTGGGTTTGTGTGAGAGGGGACAGGTGTAAGTGGCATGCTTGTGTGTTTGTGTTTTTATGTATGCACCTGTGTGCTCCGGTACTGTGTTGTCCAGATTTAAAGAGTTCCTAAGTCTGGCTGAGGTAAGATGGCGGGAGGGTGAGAGAAAAGGAAAGAGAAAGGAGTGAGAGGGATGTGTGTGTCTGGAGGGGCGGTGTGGTCTGTTGTAATGAGTGACATCAAACACACAGCTGCCACATAACTGGGACCATTAATGAGCTCCGTGCAGTGACCCTGCAGCAGCCACTGTTGACCTCTGGAGCTACTGGTTAAAATCCTGCGACACTGTACTACCAGGCCTGAACCAGACAGTGAATGTGGAGCTGTGAACTGTGTGCCCTCTAATTACATCTGCCTTAAAACAACAATAACAACAAGTACGAAAATCTTTTTTTTATTTTTAAAGTACGAGAAAGATTGTCGCCTTGGATATCAGTATGTGTTTATTTTAATAATACTGGATATACACTATGTACATGTACAGCAGAGTACAACCGAGAAGAGTCAGACACAAAGGTTGACTGAGAAGCACAGGGATTTCTTAGATAAATTGAAATGTAAATTTGTAGGTTGAGGAACTTCATCTCCTTAACAACTAATTTTTTGGCCACTTGAGGGGCAGCAGAAACAGGTTGAGAGCACAAAGCTGACATATCATCATCAAGTTTTTTTTCTGGCTAACTTGCTAGCAAACAGTTTCTTATTTACACATCCAGCAGGTATGGAAAAACATTATCATTCATTTGGAGTTGTGTTTCTTTTAACTCTGTTCTTGTAACTCTTTTTAGTCTCTACTAACTCCTGAATGAACTATTTGGATCTTTAGCTGCTAAATGTTCCACTCTGTTCACTAGCTAGTCGCTAACTTTGTCTGTCTGCTGTTTGGTGCTGAGCAGGTAGTGTGCAGCTGCTTTGTAGAGCTTTTTCGCAGAAAACTGCTGCCTGCTGAGGCCAAATATGACGCAATGAGAACAGTAAGAGTGAACCAAAATAGAGATGATGCAGGCGGTACAGCTAAATAATGAGCTGAAACTTACTATAAAGCTTCATAAAGCCGAGGGGAGCTGCAGATTTGAGTGATCTGTCTCTGTACGTTCATCACTACAAGCAACCCCTTTTCACATTCATAGCTAAAAAACCATCTAAATAAACCATTTAATGACCTGAATGGATTAAATGAAAAATGCATTGACACAAAGCTGAAAACAATGCCTCATAAAAAGGTGTTTTGTATAACAAAATTGTATATTATAGATTGGCTGAAGCTGATATGAGCCACCAGCAGCAGAATTAGTAAAATCATATGGCCATCTTCCAAAGATACAATATTTATAGCACAAAATTCCCTCTTTGTGTTTTCTTAAACAGAGTTTCTTAGACAGTATGGACAAGAAGGACGTTTGCAGCTTCCAATAACTCTTTTAATGTACAGAATGTCAGGATTGTTTTCAGACATAGTTGAAAAAATGGGAACCTATCCTTTAATCGTCTTCACATTTCACCCCTCTATAGTGATGCTGTTGTCTGCAGATCTCACTTACAATAAGCTGAACACTCACCTTTCTCTTGGCCGCCTTGGTCACGGAAGTTGCGACCACCACAAAGCCCCACAGCACATAGAGCCTGGGGAGATAAAGAACAGAGGGTGAAAGAAGTGGCAGATCTGCAGGATTTTAAATATCAGCAGGTTGAATCAGGTCTTCTGTAAAGGACATAACTGTTCCATGACCTAAACGTTAAATTTGTATACGCTGTGCGAACTCACAGACTTTCATTATTCTGTGTCCAATGTGCATCAACTTTCCTGAACCTATTCCCTCAGTGTACATTCAGTTTTAAAGCAGTGTTGGATGAGTTGAGTGAACACCCTATCACATGTTCCAGTGACCTAACTGTAGTTTAGCAACCAATTATGCCACTTTCTTTCTCACTGCAGGTGGCATGAGGGCTGAGAGGGGGGTATTTTTCCCTTCAGGGTTCACAGGCAAACATCTCAATCAATCTGGGGGAAGCCTGGGAGGCACTAACAAACTAATGGGTTTAAACAGCAAGTATGTTTTCCCTCTGCATGCCTCTCTCTGGGACTAAACACACCCTGAGGATGTGGTTTTAACACACACACACCACCACACTCACAGGCGCAATCAGTCACAACATCCAAAATCATCTTGTACAGTGAGGTGCTTTTTATTTAAGGTCTGATGTTCAAAGGAGACAGTTTATGGTGTGGGATGGTTTTAAATGTCTCCTTTAATTTTTGGTTAGTGTCCTTAAATTTGAGATGCAACTACTTTAGGAAGTACTAAAGCAGAGTATGCAGTGCATCTGAAAAAGTAATTTAATCCAATATTTAGCCTCTGAAGTCTTTTTTTCCCTTTAAGGTGAAATGTTTCAGATAAATTGACTTGTTTGTTTTAAAGACACAACAGTCTTCATGAAATTGAGACAAGTGTACTGGAAACAAGTGGAATACAAACTCCTCATCTGCCAAGAAAATAGCCTGAACATAATACTAAACGATTTGCTAAGATGGACATTTCAGCGCCCACAAGAGAACCAAACCATCACCGCAATCACCAGTCCGCAGGCCACATGTAGTCAGAGTAATTGGTCCCTTCTTCCCAGTGTGGTGCACCGCTGTGGTCTCTGGAAGTTTCCCCACACCAGACTACATAACTACCCCGAAAAACACAGACAAAGGTCCCGCACAGTCCGACACAACAGAGCCGCTCATGCCGAAGTAACGACCCCCTACCCGGGTCCACGTTTCCCTGGCCGCTACAGTGGCACATTGTAGAATAAACTCAGAGCCGCGGGGACACGGAAAGAGAAAGAGGGGGAGAGGGAGAGAGAGATATGCAACAGCGGGGGGAAAACTCACAAAAATCCGCCCTGAGGAGAAATGGGGATCTCTAACCTGAACCCAGATGTCTTCGTGTAAATCCCTATCATATATCCTGCACAGTGCCCAGAGCGCAAAAAGAAGGCGTAGTGCGTAAAAGCCAAAACTTCGCCGCAGAGCTTAACAACTTTTTAATATCTCTTTCATCGTCAACATAAACACAGTGCCCGCTCAGAATAGGATGCAGCCCCCCACATGTGGCGTTGTGCATACGCACAGACTAAGACAAGCAGCAGGTTGCAGCTGTATAAGTCAAAGTTTTACCTGAATAGTAAACTGAGCCGCATGCTCCTCCAAGAGTCTCCCGCAACAGATCTCACTCCGCTACTAATCACCGCTATTGATTACCAATCCAGTCTAGTGATTGGTTAGTTGTCCGTTCCGGTCCGTGCAGTCCTGAAATAAATGTGATGAAGTCCTGCGAAGGCTTCTTCAGCGCTCTCTCTCTCTCTGTCCCCTTCCTTCTGTCACAGTCACTCCCCGTGATTTTTGGAAAGTGGGAAAGGTTCCGTTTTTTCTCCTCCTCTTTCAGTCCGTTCACTCGACAACTTTTTTGCGTCCTTATAAACTGGTGTGATGCCTGGCAGCCAGGGGGCCAAGGGTGGAGGGTGCAGGAGACACAAAATGGACAGATTACACAACTCTCTCTCTCCCTCACAGGCATAAACCATACACTCCAACTGCCTCTCTCTCTCTCTCTCTCTCTCTCTCTCTCTCTCTCTCTCTCTCACACACACACACACACACACACACACACACCAATATGGGCCCTGACTAAGCAAGAATAACTCTCAGAGCCGCTTTCTTAGTTGCACAATCCATCATAAGAATGCTCCATTGTACTAGGTCACACTGATCAGTGGTAATGATCTACTCATTGTGAAAACAGCCCTGAGCTGGAAGCATCTGCAGCAGGGCACTTTGTTGGGGAAGTACAAAGCCTTTATGGGCTTAATAGTGTGCCAATACAAACACTAATTGTCCTACAAGTAAGTGGAAAATGCAATTGGGAAGTGGAAAATTATTATTTTTTATTTTGCATGGATGAAATTTAGCTGTTGACTGTCTGGCACAGAGCTGTTTTGCAAAATATATTTTTGAATGAATGTGTTTTCTGGTAACTGTTTAATCAGTTAAGCACTAGAAAACAGACATGCTGCACCAATTTGGAGCTCAGATACTGTAAGTACACCCAAGTGACATGCCACATCTGAGCAGGAATGACGACTGTGTGGATGTGTGTGTGTGGGCTGTGAACTCTTCTTGGTTGTGGTTTGAAGCAGATGTGAAAACTGTCTGATGCCAACTCGTTTACACAATATTTATTTGGTGGTAGTTCACCAAGCTCCCCAGTCAGTCAGTACAGTTTTCTAAAACAGAACCACCAAACAGCCCACAATGGGATACTGGGAGGTAAAGAGTGACGTGTATGCATCTAAACCAAAGTCTCTCACAACTTGTACAATTAAGAACTGGCATTCCTCCTCCATCTATTGAGGTTGGCAGATTTGGGCGAATCTAATTTTCTACTGTACTGTACATACTTCATACGTAAGTGTTTATTTTAGAGTGTCTTTTTTTAATGAAAAGGGGACAAAACCAGGAAAATTTGACTGGTTGCTTAATTTTCGTGTGTTTAAATTCGCTAACTTTGTCTCAAAAGCAGGGAGAAAAGAAGACAAGATGGACTATTTAGTCTTTCTTTTGATTTATGAAGTAGGTTACTTTATTTCGAAGTGCATATTAATAACATTTCTGAAAATTTGCCAGAGCTAAACAATTATAATAAAAACTTTAAGATTGTTGTAAACACGAGGGTCTGGAAATCTGATTATTAAAAATGGTTTGAATTGGTTTTCTTTATTTTGGGACTTTTTGTAACTTTGTTTAGTTAAACATCATTCTGAATCTAGTTTATTGGTGGCGTCTGTTAAGTCCATGAAGCTTCGGCATGACATCCTCATCATGAAAAAAAAAAACGAGGAGAGCATTAGTGAAGACAAGAGAGGATGAAGAACAGAGGGAACAGAGTTGGTAGGTCTTTCTGATCCCTCTTGAAACCTTCTCATTAACATTTCCCACCCTGCTGCCTCTGAGAAGAGTCGAAATGGTGGAAATGTGACAGAGAGAGCGAGGAGTGAAAGGCAGGGTGGGTACGTCGTGAGTTATGGTCTAACACATATTATAACACACCCAGGGCTTGAGATGTCCCAGGGCCAGATGCTGCTTTTCTTGGACAGGCATCCTACAACATGGACACGGCGATGGTGAAGAAGATTAGTGACTTCAAAGCCCACAGAGAGCTAACAACTGAGGACTTAAACCACATTACAGAGCGGGCTTAAGATTTGATCTGTCAAAATAAAATAGTTAATGTTAAAGGCGTTCCAAGAATGATGAGGGTGGATTCCAGAGGTTAATGCACATGCATAGACACATATGCAGTAGCTTTGTGTGTGTGCGCTTTGTGTGCGATTAGTGAAATGGATATCTCTGTACTTCTAAGCAGCATGTCTATCAGTAACTACAATTAGCCAGAGGTCATTGCCATGGCCACCAGTGGTCCATGACCACTTATAGCCGGCTGCTCCCCTCCCCTGCCCTTTTCTCTCTGGATCCCTGAGAAGCAGTAACTAACGCATTGGCCTGCTGACATGCACCACCAACCACACTACCCTGATAAGCAAAATGTCTATATCAACTAGTCACCACAACACACAGATGGGGGGTGGAGGTCCAGGGAGGTCCGTATGTAGATGCAGATCTGTTATTTGTCTCGGATGGCTGATCTGAGTAATGGCACTACAGATCAGAGTTGCACTACCCTGTGGGAGTGATATATCACTCTAAAAACGTCTTGTATGAACACACACCCTGCCTCCAGAAAACACACACACTCACCCCAGCCTCAGGCCCAGACACAGTAGGTCGGCAAACCTTTTACTGTTAATGAGGCCTTCAGGCTTCTTCAGACCAGCAGACAGTCAGAGCTCTGGGTTTGACCGACAGAGAGAGGAGTCAGGGCTGAAACATGTTTCAACAAAGATGCATGTAATCATCTTTGTGTAGGAGGGAGAAGAAGGTGTTGCCATCTAGGTATCAGTTTGTCCGTTGGTTGGTTCACCCCTTTGGTTCAGACTGAAACATCTCGTATATAAACTACTTTGATGATCCCCGCCACCAGCAGTTTGACATTTTTGTTTTTTAGTGAAATTACTTTTTTATGTATTGTCATGAATGGTACAGTCATGATTTGGGACACTCATGGTCCCCAGAGGATGGATGCTAATGACTTTGGTAATTCCCTGAATTTTACCTCTGGCGCTACCAGCAGGTCAAAGTTTTCACATATCCAGGAAAATGTATCAACATCTACTGGAGGTATTGGCACATATTTTGGTACAGACATCTGTACTTCTTAGGAGGTTTTGACATTTACATGCATCTTTGCAGAAGCTTAACTTCAGCTTCAGTCTTGTGGTGAAACTATAGCTCACACCAGAGCTGGCGTGCACACCTGTAAAATCTCAAGGACACAGAATCCATATCTGTAATCAAGCGCATCAAGCATGCATTGACTGGCTGGTTCTCCAGCAGTTGTGTTAACATGGAAGCAAAACAAAGACCCGAAAGGTGAAAGGATTATTTGCAAATTTAGGTTGAAAAGAGTTGTCTCTTTACAGATTTTTCTGTTTTTGTGTTGTCTGTTTTTGTAAATGTGCAGCACATAAGAACATTACATGAAAGTATGCTGGCACATGCCTTTGCGAATGTCTTCACACTTTGTCTGTGCATGTTTGAAGACTCACCGATGCAAAAGTATGTTCCAAGCTTAAGGCGTAGCATGTAGTTCAACATACAGCACACTGAAGGTGACACATATTCATTTGGACAGTGTGAGCTTTACAGTGAGATAGAGAAAGCCATGACTTGATTTCTGTGAAGGCGCCTAACTCAGCTGAGAGGAGGAGGAGGAGGAGGAGGAGAGTTCTGATCCAACAGTAAAGACAGCCTGAGAAGCCTCGAGCAGAGAGGAGAGAGAGGCTGACAGACGAGGACACAAAGGGAGTGAAAAGAAAGGCAGCGGCAGAAAGGGGATGAAAGGGAATATGAGAGAAAGCGGTAATGGCAGATTAGACGGGAACTGAGCAAGTGTAAAGGAGAGTGAAAGAAAATGAACGCAGGAAGGGGGAGTGATTTGTCTGGCTCAGATGGAGTCAATATTTGCTCCATTCCACCAATCCTGTGCCAGGGTCTGGATCAAAGCAAAGCATCAAAGTTTGTTCAAAAAAGGACGCAGAGAGCCAAAGGAGAAAACGGTGGACATCTTTACATTCTGATGTGGAAGTGGCTGGGAGAACCAAGAGGGATACTGTTTCACTAAAAGCATATTAGTTTGAAGTTAATTTATGTGAAATTGTAAGCATAGGTCATTGTTAAACCTCAGGCGGGAAGATCATTATGGATGAGAATAAAAACAAAAGCGAAACTTAGGGTTAAAAACGGGTAAAAGAGGGAGATAAGAGGATCGACGGGTGGATAGCTCTAATAAGGAGTTACAGTGGCCACTGGTGAGACAAGGACATGAGCAGGAGAGAGAGGTCGGCTCAGTTGGACCCTAATTGGCTGACGAAACAGCTGAAATAACCTTGGTCCAATTATCGCACAAAGAGCAATTGTTGCCCATTCAGAGAAGCCACTGGTCCACATATGTACACATAACAAGAACAAGCAACAGGATTTATGTCTGTGTGAACGGGCATGTATGGTATGGCTTGGCACAGTGCAGTCATGGTTGGCACAGGAGGCACTGGGCCACAAGAGATACAGCGGAACGACTCAGCTGGATAGTAAGCGCTTCAGTATATTTACGGTCGATTGGATATAAAGACTACTGTGAATTGTATAATAGCTTACATTTCAATTACCTGCTGCTGTTGATGAATTCCTGTCTTGTTCAGTCATGGAGCTCTTGGTCGTTACTTTTAGTTTACTGTGCAATATTGATGGATAGAAGTTCTGTTTAACTTAAGAGTCTACAGCCACGCTAGTGGCTCCATGAGGCTGTATTGTAAAGAAAACAAAAACTGTTAAATGGATAAACCAAAGTGTTGGACAAAGTTCACAAAGACCATGAATCTCAACAAATTGCATGGTAATCCATCCAACAGTTTTTGTGATATTTCACTCCGAACTACAAATGTCAAGCTGCTGGTAGTGTTGTAGTACTTGAGACTTGTATGGTCTTGGTCTCGTCTTGGACTCGACAGCATTTGTACTCAGCCTTGTCTCGGTCTCGGACATTAAGGACTCGGGATTATATTTCAAGACCATAACTTTGGGAATATCAATAAATTGCTTTTGCATTGTCTGATTTAACATCCTTTGATTGGATGTAAAACGTATTGCTTTAAATCCAACCAATAACCCTAATTAAAAATGTGTTACCGTTAATGACTGTCACCCCTCCCTGCGATGGCAAACATGGAAAAGGAGTGTTGAGTAAAGATGCTTATGTTGATTTCAGCTATTACTGTTTGTATGTGGGTGTTTTAATGGGAATGTGGATGTTTCAGATCAATATGAGAAGTACCTATGATGTCATTCCACATTTTATTATGTGTCATGTA